GACTTATTGAAAGAGTTTGATTTAAACGTTTATGACTACGTTAGTATTTGTTCTATTGCTAACAAATTGTTTGAGAACAGAGTGTACTTCCCGAATGGAAATCTTTATGACCTCTCAAATAAACCAAGAGAATTTATTTCAGATGCATTCAAGGTGGAAGATGTATGTTGTCAGATAACATTAAACAAAAGAGCAAAAAGAAACTCATTGCTGACTTCGACGCTGTTTCATTATATCCATCAGCTATAGCAAGACTTTATACTTTAGAAGGAATTCCAAAAGTATTGAAGGATGAGATGTTAAGCACAGAGTATCTCATGAGACATTTATTCGATGACGACCAAAAGGAACCCATTGGTGAAAAGTTTATGTCTGGCTTCTTTGTTCTCATTAAGATAACAGAGATTGGAATACATAGACACTTTCCTTTAATAGTTTGTGACCCTGAACTAAATCCAGAACTTAACGTTCCCAGAAGTTCAAACACTTGCTGTTTAATGTATGTTGACCATATAACATTACAAGACCTTATAAAATATCAAGGTGTCAAATGTGAAGTGTTGCAAGGATATTACTACGATGGAAACAGAGATATTAGAATAAGAGATGAAGTAAAGAAGTTGTTTGAGTTAAGGTTAAAGTATAAGAAAGAAGGAAATCCTTTGCAAGAAAATATAAAGCTCATTCTGAACAGTATTTATGGCAAAACTATTCTATCTCCTATTGAGTCAAAAATAACCATAGTAGATGACAAAGATGCTATAAGATATGCCATCAGAAACTACAACCATATAGTGAAGTTCGAAGGTTTGGATGGTTCAGATAAAACTATTTTCAAGCTAACGAAAAGCATTTGCAGACACTTTAACTTCTGTCCACTTGGTGTTAACATTCTGTCTATGTCAAAACGTATTATGAATGAAGTGTTTTGCACGATTGAAGACTTAGGATTAAAAGCATTTTATCAGGATACAGATTCGATGCACATTTACAATGAAGACATACCACGTTTAGCTCATGAATTTAAGAAGAGATACGGTAGAGAACTTATTGGTAAAAACCTTGGTCAGTTTCATAGTGACTTCGCAGAAATAACACCTGGAAAACAAAGTTTAGCATACAAGTCAATATTTTGTGGAAAGAAGACTTACATAGACTTACTCACTAACGATTTAAATGAAGTTGCATTTCACTGCAGAATGAAAGGCGTGAAGCAAGATGTTATTGCTTTAACCGCTAATGAAATGTTTCCTGAAGCTATACAATGCTATTACAATGAAGATAAAGGTTTAATGGTTCCGCAAGGAAAATTTGACAAAGACTCTGAGTTCAGTGTCATGAAACTTTATAAAGCACTTTATGACGGTCAAGAGATTGGATTTGACTTATGTAAGTCTTCTAGTCCTTGCTTTGCTGAAAAGTTTAACTTCTCAATAACGACTAAAACAAGCTTTATTCGTAAGTTGAAGTTCTGAGGTCATTTATTTTTGTCAGCAATGAGGTCATGAATGAGGTCAGCAATGAGGTCATGAATGAGGTCATTTATTTTTGTCAGCAATGAGGTCATTCATGATAAAAATAAGCCGCTAGCGGCAAGGGCGAAGCCCATGTGGTCATTTACAATACTGCGATGGTAGAGTTTAAGAGTTGTGCTTCAATGTAGAGACAGTCCTTATGGTCTGGAGGTAAGAACACTGGGCAGTTATGGTCATGAGTGGAGAACATGTCTATCCAAAACTCACGATTGAAGCCAGTTAATTTATAGTATTTAGGGTTAGGAAGTGGTGTAGTTCTTGTATGACCAATGAACTCATTTTCAACTCCCTTACTTAAGTTTGAATATAATATAGCTTGCTTTCTATCCCAAATGCCAGGTGTTACAATCTTTGAAAATTCATTTTTCCTCGGAAGCATTGCATCATAATTGAAAACATTCTTGAAATCATCACTTGGTTCAGAGATTTGAAATCTTATACGTAATGGATTTTCTTTCTCTTTAGCTACTTCATTGAATGGTGAGAATACAACAAACTGACAGTCATGAGTTCCATCTTCATTTTCATTAAATTCATAATGAAAGTCTATAAGTTGTGGCTGACTACCTTCTTCTTTCAGTTGTGCAAGAAACTCACGTAAAGGCTGTAAAGTTTGTACTTCAATGTTAAACTTTTTCTCGAACATTTCATTAAATGAAATCATACATTGCAACAATGTTGTATCGTCTTTAAAGTATTTGTATATGTGAATGTTTTGGGCGCTTAAAGACTGTTCGTCATTTTCTATCTCGACTTGAAGTATAAAGTCAACTTTCCTAAATGCACGTGTTATATACATAGATGTTATGCCAATGTACTTCTCTTCATTTATGTTCACAATCCAGTCTGTTGGAAACTTAAACGTTACTCTGTTCCCCTTTATTTTGACGTCAGGGTTTTCACTACTGAACGCAACAGATAAAGGTATTTGTCTATACATTTAGTTCCAATAAAAATAAACCATTTACTCTTTCTTCACTTCAGCTTCTTTAGCTTTTGCTTCAGCTTCTTCTCTAGCTTTCTTCGCGAGCAAACGTGGGTTCTTCTGTCTTCCAGCAGCTAATGCAGCTAGTTGTTTTTCACTAAGTTTTCTCTTTGGTCTCTCTGGCTTTTGTTCTTGTTTTTGTTCCTTCAGTTCGGATAAAATTTGCTCGCGAATTTCTTTCTTCAATGCTTCAACATCTATGACCCCTTGGGTCTTGTCCGTAGGACTTGTCTGAGTCATTTGACTGCAGATAAAAAACAAAATTAAAACTTTAACCGATGTAAAATGAGCTTGTCAAAATCAGAACGAGAGTCTATTATATTAAATGACGCCAGAGGAATACAACATCCTTTCTATTACGTAAGTCAGAGTAAAGATGGTAAAATATATGTAAGAAAAAGAAAGGTTCCATTAGCGAATGCAGAAAGCGACAACATTAAGGTGCATGGCAAGGGTGAAGTCCACGAAGCCCATATAAAACCTTCTGTTCAAACTGAGCCACCAAAAGAACCAGAAGAAAAGAAGCCAGATGTACTTTCAATAACGAACCAAGAGCTTATTGCAAAGTTCGTGAATTTCATTGAAAAACAAACCGAGTCAAAGAACCCTGACCCGCCAGTGAAAGAAGTTGAGACAAAAGAGAATGTACAGTTCATTGAAAATGTCAAGAAACAACTTCCACCACGAATGCCAAGAAGAAGAGTGAGAATAATGAAGTAAATAGATATTTTTATCTGAAGTAAATACATGCAGAACGAACAGCTAAACGAATTTACTCCAGCAGAGCATATTCATCAGATTCGCTCATATTTCGATATCATAGACAATGCAGTTCAAATTGGTGACACTAATAGAAAATATTCTGACGCAAAGATTCCATCACAACCTGGAACTGCTAAAGATAACACATGGGTAACATTCAATCTCTCACCTCCTGGTGAAAATATGTTGGACCTTTACAATACATTCATTACGTATAAAATGGAAGGTCAATTTATTGTAGATAAAGAAATTGGTTCAGGTTCCAATAAAACAAACCCACCAGGATTTTGGATTGGTTTCGATGACGCTTTCTATGCAGTTGCTGGATATCAAATCCTTGCAAATGGTCGTATCGTATATTCTCAAGACAACGCAAGAGAAGAAGCATATATAACTTCAAACTCACAAACTACCGAACAAATAAAGAAAGTAGATGTTTTCTCAAAGACTCGACATGAAGATGTATGGAGTCATTCGGGAACATGCAGAACAGGACAAATTGTTAGTGGTCCAATTACAGCAGGAAAATCATTTGATTTTAAGCTTCGTTTAAGAATTCCTGTTAGAAGATTCCTTCCATTAGAAGCTATTCGATTTATTCCAGCTTTTGCAGGAAACATTCAGCTTAAAGTAAAGTTCAGTAGCGACGCCTTACAATGCACATCTATATCTGTAAATGATATCATTGCTTTCAATCCAACTCTTAAAGTTGCATTTGCTTCAGATTCAAATCCACCGACAAATAAATTTGTTCCATGGAATGAACCATTCACTATGATAACGAAGGCAGTAGAAGCTAGTGGAACAGTTACTATTACAACTGTAACCAGCAACTATTTCGAACAAAGATGGATTTTAATGAATGTTTCATTCATCCAAAGTCATTCTCTTTAGACCCTAACATTTATACAGAACTTGTAGAACATTATACAAACGAGGCTTTATGTTTTCCTGTTAAAGTTATGGATTGGATTCCTATGGACGGTTCATTCTCAAAGAATACAGATAGTTCAAGTGCAACATTTACAGCAGCTTATACGCCTATTAATGTTAAAAGTATTTGGGCACTATTTAGAAAGAAAGACAACTATTATGTTAATTTTGAGAACCCTAAGTTTAAATATCTTCAGCTTTCCATGGGAGCTTATGGAAATATGCCTGCAGAACCTGAAAAATCATATGGACCTGTATTTTATGAAATGGTTGCGAACGCTTGCAATACAAACAATGATATGATTGGATTTAATGAAGATGTTATGAGGTCATTGGTGGATGATGGTAGTGTGGAACATAAATGGGATAGCTATGACAACACACATTTCTTATGTGGTTTTCCAACAGAAGTGGACTTTTGCTTCCAGCAAGGTCAAACATCTACTGCTCCAATAACATACAAATTGTCTGTTAAAGGACCTATTGAACTAGCAACTGAAAACGTACCAAAGCCACTTATTGGATTTATGAGGGATTGTTGCTTTGCCATTCAGGTGCGTGCTAATGGCATCCCCATAATAAGATTAGATGACTATAACTTAGCTACGGACGACAGTGAGGAATAAAGGATGAACGTTTATTTTTAAAGCTTATAAATGAGTTCTTCATCAAGCTCTCGTGAACCTTCACCATCTATGAAACAAACTTTACCAAACGATTATGGAGCACCTATTGAATATTTCTTACGAGCTGCACAATGGCAAAGAGCAGTCTCACCAAGGTTAGGTGTTCCACCAGCTCCTGTCAAAAATAGCATTTGGTCAAGTCCTTATATAAAATATGGTCTCCCACTAGGTTTGCTAGCTACAGCAGGAGCAGTAATGATGTTGAAAAGAAATAAAGCAAATGTTGTAAATAATACTGAAGTAGCTGAAGTTAAACAAACTCCGACACCATCGCCAAAACCAACGCCTTCACAAACAACACCTTCAATGACTCCTGAACCTATGGAATTACAAACTCCTGTTCAAAAGTCAACTCCAAAACCGACTCCAACATTTAAACCAGAACCTACTCCTCAAATAAATCGTAAAACTCCTGCGTTTCCTTACTGAAAAAATAACGTTATTTTTATTTAATATTAAAATTTTTATTTGATTGAAATGACGACTAAAGTCACTGAAGCAATGAAACAAAAGTTTTTGGTAGAATACATTAAATCAGGAATTATTCCAGAAGGTTTTTACATTCATACTATGAAGGATGGTAGAGTTCAGTTTAGAAAGATAAAGCAACCATTAGATAAAGAAGGAATTTTGAGAAAGATTAAACTTCATGAGGACAACATTGCTGAACTTAAGAAGAAGTTAGAAGAGTTGGAGAAAGCAGACGACAGTGAGGAATAAAGCAATGAATTCAACAGGGTAGAAATGAGGTTAGAAATCGGGTTAGAAATCGGGTTAGATCTCACCACTTCACCTAAATTTATTTTTGTGCTATGTTTTCATACGTGTGAGGGTGGTGATATCATTTATTTTTTATTTTATTTTTTAAAATTATTTTTATTTTATTTGGATGTAATGACAGAACAAAAGCAACTCATACAAATCAAAACATATAACAAACATACATTTAAACATTTATTCTTCCTTCCTGAGCATAACATGTTCTTTCAAATACATCCGAGACCAGTTGACTTTTCATTGACTGTTTATAAAGATAGAAATAGTTATATCATTAAACCATACGATGACGAAGGTAAGTTATGTAAATTGTACGTTAAGAAGTTAGAGAAAGTTTATGGCTTCAAGTATGACTACAATAGGGTTAACACTGATGATGAAGATATTGAGGAAAATTTATGAGAACATTAGTGAAGTTGTTAGTGAGAACGATAGTGAGGTGAAATTGTTGGCGGCTTTGTAAATATTTAAGGTTAAGTTAGTTTTTGCGTTCATGTTGTAAAATATACGTTAACGGTTTTGTAAAGTGTCAAATTCACAAGTATTGGGTAAGGTGGAACGCAGTGCCACCATACCCAAGACTTGTATACTAACTTACACCATATTAAAATCATCTCTCTTCAATATTATCTCATAAAAGTTCTCGTTACTGGAGAAAGTCAATGAAACATAAACATTCTCACGGGCTTCGCCCTCACCGCTTTGCGGTCTATCTAACTTCTTTCTTATCTCCTCTATTCGCTTCAAAATGTCTGAACAATTGCTAACATCTTCTACAACAGTTATTTCATCATGAATGACTTTCAAGAACAAACTCATTTAATATGCTATTAAAATCATCTCAATAATGAGTCCATCCTTTCCATCTTTAGGTAGCACAACATCTTTCATTGAAGAAGGTTCAAACAAGTCTTATGTTAAACTTACTGACAAAGTTTGTTATACTATAATGCTTCGGTGGCGAATACATGTAGTTTGAAAGACATAATATAGATTCTTCAGCAAATTCACTTATACTGGATTTTATAACAATGTTCTCACGAGACAAATACCACCAATTGAAAAACTTGTAAGCAATCCTGCTGAACCTTCAACTGTAAACGTCGATGGTAACATTCCACGAAGGTCATCTATTGACATCTTTGAGTCACTGAATTTAAAGATTTTCTTAAAGCAATCGTCATTATCTAACCATGCAATAGCTTTGAAGTTTTTCATTCGAATATACATCTGCTTCATTAAATGTAAAACCTGACTTCTTTGCAGAGACGACTTTAAAATCTATTGCATTTGTTTCAAAATTTATATGCTATGCTAACTTCTGAAGGTAATGGATGTCCTTCCGCAGTCAGTTGTTCTCTCACTACTGTTTGAAGTTTTGTGTTAAAAACTTTCATGTCATCTCCTGTGTCTAGGTTCACATACACAGCAACAGGGAAACTATCTTGCTTCTTTGTTTCATCATTATATCTCAAAACATTAAAGTTCTTCAATAATATTGTTCTTCCTGCTGGAATACTTCTAACTTGTCTTATTTCAATAGCTTTCTCACCTCCTACATACTCTACCCAGTGTCTTGGATATTCATAAGTATACTGACTTTCTTGAATTTTGGTAGGTTTCATCATAACGTGTTCATAGTATATCTTTATACTCTTGTCAGTTAGACTCGGTGCTATGTTCTGAATATTTCTGACTTGCATTTTTAATGGAGATAAAATGAAGCATTTAATACATGACGTAGATGAAGACATGAATGAAACTACAGACAAACTTAACTCTTCTCTTATTCTTCCTTTCAGCAAAGATTATGAATTCTGTTCAAATGGCGTGTATTTCTATTGTGGAAAGATGGGCTCAGGTAAGACATTTAACCTCATTCGTCATATACTCATAACAGAGCGTTTAGGAAACGACTCTTACTATGACCAAATCATTATATCAGCAACTTCAGACTCTATGGACTCAACAGCGAAAACATTCATGAGTAAAGTTCAAGCATCTGTCGTTAAAGTTCCAGATAGCGAACTCATTGAATTTCTTCAACGTTACATTCGACGTAAGAGAAAATATTATGCCATCGTAGAGTTCATACAGTCAGGAATGCAAAAGACTTCAGAAGAGATGGAAAGAATTATTGACAAACACCACTTACGTCAGTACTCAGGAGTTTACGATATGAAACGACTTACAAACTACATTCTGTCAAAACTTTCAAAATACCCCTTCAAAAGTATCCTTCAAACACTCTGCTCGTTTGTGACGACTTCGCCGGAAAAGGTTTAGTGTCAAAACCAGACTCACCATTAGCTAAACATCATTACTAAAGTCAGACATTACCACTTAACTGTAGCAATACTTATGCAAACATGGAGGTTTTTAGCTTTAAACATAAAACGTCTCATAACTGACTTCGTTATCTTTCAAGGTTTCTCACGCTATGACATTGAACTCATTTGGAAACAGTCAGGTATAAACATTACCTTTTGAAGAAATTTGGGAAGCATATAAGTCTCTCATCTCTCCTCGTTCATACCTTGAGATTCATATCATGACTAATACCATTAAAGTCAAAAATATTCCATGGGAACGACCAACATTGTTTTAAAGCTTAACCTTCAATTGACTGATGGTAAACAAATTCCATGCATCTCTGTCGCCATTTCTGTTAATATTTTGCTGTCATTCATATCATCCACTTCTCCATCCGTTAGCTTTTGAGGATATGTGTTAGAATAGCTGTTCTTAAATGAAGGCTTCTCTCCTTGAGAGCATAAACTCTATAACTTTCTGCATACTTTATGTTTGAACCTCCTGAGCCATCATTGACATAAATTTTTCTAGGCTTCCACCCTTTGTTCATGTTTCTGCTTCTTCCCTTAGCTCTTTTGTTCAGTAGTTCTACATCTTTATACACAGCACCTGTCTCAGTGAATTCAACAATATTTTCATTCGTTAGCTTTACATTCAAACCCTTGTCGAGTATATTGTTCATTTCATACATATAAAAGGTTTTTAATTCTATATGAAATGAGAAGTAAGTCCATCTTAGCTGGTGCCGTTAATGTTCCAATTGAACCAACATCAAATGTTGACTCACGAACACGAAACAATATTGTCATAAAGAACTATAGTTCAGAGTGTTTGAAAGAAAAAGAACCAGAACTTAAGTCGGTGAATTTAAACTCAGCTTCAAACGCTAACGCTACATCAATGTTAAGTTAGAGTATCCACCACTGGACCAAGTTCTTTCAAGAGAAGTCAACGACAATCCTTACACAAATGTTCAAACAAATCCTTCAGATAACGTAGACCATTACCTTCTTCAGTTATACCAACAATTTTACTCAAAGACGATAAGAAGCTTTTGACAAATCTTATAAGTAAGAAACCAAATAATTCTTACAAAAGAGGACCTTGAGAATGTTATATCACGAATAACAGGAAAGCAATGTGTCATTGACTATCTCGACCCTGAAATCGAATGCTGTGGTCAAACTCCACTATTCATGAAAATAGGTAACATCCGCATCATTGAAATACCAGGTACTCCAGGAGTTGAGTTTAAGTATAGATATTCGAACGAGTATACAAAACTATCTACTTACTATAAATTATGTCTTAAATATGTTTTAGTAAATTAAAACAGTCAGTCAGTCAAAAAAAATTTCAAGTTAGCAATTTGTAATATCTGTCCAAAACTTCTTCAACACTATTGAACTCATCTTCATAATGCAAACCTAATCTTATTGACTTGGTGCAGTTTTCACTAACACAATATTTTTCTGTTCTCTTGACTGACATAATTAACTCATTTGTTTCATCAAACAGCAACAACCAAAGTTCATGACCTAATACATAACATTCATACTTTATTTTTTAGCTCTGAGTTCTTTGTAAGCTGTTGCATTTAATATTTTCTAAAAAGTCAACTTCAACAGTCATTCGCACTGGTGCCTTCAGTACTACAGGCTCGCCTTGAAAGTCAACTAGTCTGAATTGCATGTCTTTCAAATTGTGAGGGCTTATGCGAACCCATTTACCTAAATGAGTTGCTATGCAGGAACGTTTGGAATGAACATTGAATTTACTTCATAACAGAAAGACTTATATTCTACTGAACCTTTACTATTAATCCTGAAATGCCTGTGACATTAGCTATTTTAGACTCAATGTACAAACAATTGCCATAACATACGTATGGAACAGATTTCATCTCAATCGTTTTGTCAACACTTTTCAAAGGAAATGTCATATGGTATGCTCCAGAAGCAATTGAACTCTATGACTCATTCGTGTTATCTTAAACTCCTTCGCATAATTGAACTTCAAAACTCCTGCAATAAGTTTAACATTCATTAAGTTTTCTTCGTTATCCTTGTTTATTGTAGTATTTATGAGAGCATTTAACACTCCAGCTAATGTTTCCATCTTATATTCTACATTATTGTGAAATCTTATTTCGTGCTTCTTTCCATCTATTTCAAGCTCCATGAAATCTGTTTCGTCAGTTATAACGAATGAAGCAATAGTGTTAAAGTCAACCATTCTGAATGCAAGTGCCTCATTCTGTAGACCTAAGTTTGTTTGTAGTTTTACTGTCCCGTATTCGTTCGGGTCTGTACTTTGCAAATAGAACAATATTTTATTCTCATTAAAATATGAGTATAGCTGCATATGCGTATGAAGCTGACAGAGCTAAACTAGGGATGCGACGGTTTTACGACATGACCGTTTAAAAATAGAATAATACGCCATTTTTGGGGCCGAATGGCGGGTACGAAGTAGCCGCCATTCGGCCGAATAACAAAACAATACAAAATTATCGCCGTCCTTTTTTTCTTTCTCTTTTTTTTCTCTCTCTCTCTTTCTTTTCTCTTTCCTCTTTTTACTCCTCTTTCTCTTTTCATCATTAAACGTAGAAAGATATATTAATATTATTTTAAAATTAAAAAAATATAGAAGGTATAATAAGTAATTATTTAGTTATCGATATATATATGTAAAGTGATAATCTGAGGATAATCTGAGGAGGAGTCTGAGGATTAGACCGAGGAGTAGTTTGAGGAGTAGTCTGAGGAGTTTGAGGAGTTTGAGGAGTAGTCTGAGGAGTTTGAGGAGTTTGAGGAGTAGTCTGAGGAGTTTGAGGATAATCTGAGGAGTTGTCTGAGGAGTAGTTTCAGGAGTTGTCTGAGGATAATTTGAGGAGTTTGAGGAGTAGTCTGAGGAGTTTGAGGATAATCTGAGGAGTTTGAGGAGTAGTCTGAGGAGGAGTTTGAGGATAATCTGAGGAGGAGTCTGAGGATAATCTGAGGAGGAGTTTGAGGAGTAGTTTCAGGAGTTGTCTGAGGATAATCTGAGGAGTTTGAGGAGTAGTCTGAGGAGTTTGAGGATAATCTGAGGAGTTTGAGGATAATCTGAGGAGTTTAAGGAGTAGTCTGAGGAGTAGTCTGAGGATTAGACTGAGGAGTAGTTTGAGGATAATCTGAGGAGTAGTTTCAGGAGTAGTCTGAGGACTAGTCTCAGGACTAGTCTGATGAGGAGGACTCTAAGGAGTAGTCTGAAGAGTAGTCTCAGGAGGAAGATCTGAGGAGGAGTCTTATGAGGAAGATCTGAGGAGTAGTCTGATGAGGAGGAGTCTAAGGAGTAGTCTGAGGATGATGAGTAATCTGATAAGGAGTAGTCTGAGGATGATCTGAGGATAACCTGATGACTAGTCTAGGAGTGGTCTAATAAAAATGTAAAATATTTTCAAAGAAAAAATTCTATGAATTTTATATTTTAATTCTTAGCATTATACTGAATAAAATAAACATAAATATCAAAATTTTGAAATTGAACACACCAAAAAATTGATAATCCACATTCAATATTTTGTAAGTGGCGTACTTTTTGAATACTCGCCATACGCCTTGGAGTTCTCAATTTTGAATTCGCCTTTATTTGGGCGACCTCAGAAAAATACGCCATTAAGAAAATATTGTATGAGATTTTAAATTTGAACACGCTCTACCTTAAGGAATTAAATTTATTAAGATATATTTATATATAATAAACGATTACTTAAAAAAAGTATTTCATCGCTTATGTAAGTTTCAAAAAAATCACGAAAATAAAAAAATCAAGATTAAGATTTTATTTTTAATTTTTGAATTTCTCAAATGGCGAAATTTTTGGGCGAACAAAAAAATGTACGCCCGGTCAAATGGCGTGTTTAACGCATCCCTAGAGCTAAACGTTTATATTTTGGTCAATACTCTTTCACACTTACTGACAAATATATTGTTATTTCTGATGGAAATACTGAGAAATATATAACATGGAAGGACTATGAAAAGTTTGACCCTATTTTAACTCCATGTACTATGCCATTCATTGTAAATGGTGAAGTTGTCATGAAGAACGACACAACTGTTTATAGGTCTGTATATGAAGCTCTTGAAAGCATTCTTAACTTCAATCCTTCAGGGTTCGATACAAAAACAACTCCTTCGACAATGCCATTCATAGAAAATGGTGAAATTGTGTCAAAAAATAACGAAACAGTGTATAAGTCAGTGTATGAGGCGCTGAACTATATGCTTCATTTCAATCCTTCTGGTTTTGACCCACAAATAACTTCATGCACTATGCCATTCATTGAAAATGGTGAAATCGTCATGAAAGATAACACAACTGTCTCAAAGTCTGTTCGTGATATTTTAGACTACTTGCTTCATTTGGATCCTACAGGATTTGACCCATATACAACTCAATGTCAAGTACCATTCATAAACGACTCAGCAGAAATAAAACTCAAAACGTCAACAGTAGATGAAGCAATTGCTGACTCATTGACAAAACTTCTTGATATAATAATGAGGTTCAATACATTCAAAACAACATATGAAACCTTTAAGAAAAATTATGACGATTTCTTTAAAATTACATACATCGGGCCTACTGCTCCTCAAACACCAGACTATGCATGTCTTAAAATAAACGCTGCATGGACACAAGTTAGAACACTGACTTTTGACGGAGATAATATCGTTAGAGGCGTTACATCTGGAGACACATTACTTACGAAAGAATACTTAAAAAGTCATATCAGTGATTTTGTGAAAGTAGAACAAAGTGGAGGAGGTAAGAGTTGGTTAGGGTGGTTGTTTGATTTATTTTCAGCAGGTGTAACAATTGCATCTCTTATAACCATGCAAAGTGAGATAGACGCACTTTGGACGTTTTTGGGGTCGAAAGCGGGAATGGGTGAGCTTGTAGATGCTGCAAGAACATTAGGTGAAACGGGAAATTTTGTAGATGGTTTTAAGAGACTTGTTTCAAATGTTTTAACAAACACAAAGAAATTATTTAGATATACCGTACATAACGGACAGATTTTCGAACAGGTAGCAACAAACCCTCCGGTTATGGCTGCGTTGATGATGGCTAGAGACATAAAGCCGCGTAGCGGCGAGGGCAAAGCCCATGAAGAAACAGGAGAACCAAAGGATACGGGTCAGGTTATTCGAGAGATTAAAAACGTATATCCTGAAGTTATTGATTTATTTAGAGGTGTTAATGATTCGATTTCAAATCATTCTATAACCATTGATGAAGAAAATAAATTAACAGATTATATATTCGTCATTATTGCAGAACTAATGAAGAGAATAAATGAAAAAGGTATTGATGATATCATTAATGTTAGCGATGTAATGATGAAACGAAATTTTGACTCATTATTTACAGAACCGAAAACAGAATACAGTCTTTATGACGTAATTACTGAATTAATGAAAAAGATTAATGATAATAAGAGTTCTGGCGGAAGAGTTGAATTAGAAATGAATGATGTTAATGAGAAATTAGATAGTAAGGCGGACAAAGACCATGTTCATTATATAAGTTCAGATGAACAAATTATAATGGACTACCACGGATATTTAACACAGGATGAACAAATAAGCACTGAAGATGTTAATGAAAGAAGATATAAATTCATTCGTGCTAAAGGTTATGACATACGTTGTCCTGTACAGTATGACACAGGTAAAGCACCAGAAGCATTTGGTTATAACAATGAAATTTATGCTTCATACTTCTTTGTTAACGGTGTATTAGTTGAACCAAGATTTACTTTGAGAGTTAAGGCAAAAATAACTTTTGAAGATGCTATTAAAAGTAAAGCTGACAAAAATGAACTTGACGCAATGAACAAAGTTTTGAAATCTCATAAACACAATATCTCCGATATAAAGGAACTTCAAACTTCTTTAGACAGTAAAGCAGACAAAAATCATACACATGAATCCTTCACTACTGTTAGAGCAGACGACATAATATTGAACTATACCCTTGGTTCAAGTGCACCTTTAGAGAATCCAAGTACAAGCGTAAAAGATACTCTTAACAATTTAGATAACAAATGCACTAATATTGAAGGACATGTCAGAAACTTTGAAACACATGAACTACCAGCAATGTTAGATAAGAAAGCAGACAAAAATCATACACATGAATTCTTCACAACTATTAGAGCTGATGAGATAATATTGAATTGGGCTATTGCTTCATCAAGCATGCGTGATGAAGATATGCACACTAACCTAAGAGATATGGTTGTTGATTTAGCCAATAAAACCGACAAAATATATGTAGATGAAGAATTAAATCGTTATGATACAAAAGCAATGAGTTATACAGAAGAAGCAAAGGAATGGGTAGATGAAAATTATGTGAAGAAGTCAGAAGTAAACGAGGCGGTTAATGGTAAAATAAATGAAAGATTTTCGAACATAGATTCAATAACAGTTAATGACATTCAATTACACCATCAGTTACCGGGTCAAAAGAATGTGGAATATAATAATCTTACTCATGTTCTCGATGGTTTCGATGAATTTAGAACTGATGCAACAAATGCAATTGTAAGTATGAAGAATGAAATATTGCAAGCTATATATCCTGTTGGTTCTTTATATACGTCAATGAATTCAACAAATCCAGCAAGTGTTTTAGGTTTTGGTACGTGGGAACAGATTGTAGACAAATTCTTATACTGTGCTAACTCTTCAAAGCAAACAGGAGGTTCAAAGAAAATTTTAGAAGCAAATCTTCCACCACATAAGCACACAGGAACTACAAACTTTTCTGGCGACCATAGCCACTCATTAAGAGACCACCCATTATACAACTCAGACTATGAAGCTGGCAATGACGTTTTATCTCCATCTTATAACAATTCAGCAAAAAAGACTTTTCGACCAACTGAACCAGGAGGAAATCATTCACACACTTTCACAACAAATCCAACAGGCTCGGGTGAAGATTATATGCCCCCGTATATGACAGTTTATGCATGGGTTAGAACAGCATGAAATTTACTAAATTTATTTTTACATAAATGAGTTTAAAAGAAGTTTTCGAATCATCACCGTGGAGGTCATTTAAAAAATTCTATGAAGCTGCAAAGAATGCGGGATTTAATGATAGAACAGAAATTAAGAGATTTTATGATGAAAATATAGTTCATCAGGTTAAAGTTAATCCATACGACTACTACCTTCCCATTTACTCGAAAACCCATGATGCATATCAATTTGATACACTCGTTCAGAGTAAGAAAGGAAGAAAGCCACCATTTTTGATTTTCATTAATGTTAATACACGTAAAGCTTTTGCGTATATAATGAAAAATAAAGGAACAAAAAAGTTTTAAGAGTTTTGCAGACGTTTGTGGCAGAACATCATCCCACTTCATTAACTTCAGACCAGGATTCAGCATACCTTTCAAATGAAATTACAGAATTTTTGATTAAACATAACGTTACTCATTACACGACTGAAGACCATAACCATAATATTTTAGGAATCATTAATCGTTTCATTCGAACGCTCAGAGATTTAAATAAAGAAAGAGATTTTACGGAGGAATCAATGAATAAAGTCATTAATGCTTATAATAAGTCCACCCATAACAGCACAGGATTTAAACCAAACGAAATGACTTCAAAAGAGGAGGATGAATATATAAAACAAAAAAGAATGTTAACGGAGGAAAGAAGAAGTTCATCATTACTGCCAGGAACTAAAGTTAGAATCATTCTTGAACATAAACCACATGAAAAGGTAAGAAATCAGTTAAGTGATGATTATTATATCGTTGATTCCTCACAGGGTAATGGTTATTTAATTAAAGCAGCTGACCATTCGGTCGCATTTTATCTACGATTTCGATTAGTTGAAAGCGAAAATGGAAGATTAGCTAAAACGGTTGATGAAGCGAAAAGAGGTATAGTTAATAAAATTGTGAGTTATGATGAAGACAAAGATGAATACACTGTCATTTATGAAGGAGGTGTGGATGATAAAATTCCTTCTAGAAATTTGAGAGAATCGAACCCCACACATTTATCGGAACTCGAAAAGGATTACTGGAAGGATAAAAATAAGCCAAAATTAATCAAAAAATTTTTATGAACTAAATATATTTTATGTCTGAAGTTAATTAGGTAATAAAGTAGCGGATGAAATACAGAAATAAATTTTATCATGAATGGTTTTTAGGTTCTTCAATAATTAATTATTTTTGAATAACTGAAGGTGTTACCATGTTACCATGTGCTACCAGGTAAATTAACTTCTTTAAAAAATGATGACAACATGCCATTTAGACAACTAGCCCAGAAATAAATTTTATCATGAATGGTTTTTAGGTTCTTCAATAATTAATTATTTTTGAATAACTGAAGGTGTTACCATGTTACCATGTGCTACCAGGTAAATTAACTTCTTTAAAAAATGATGACAACATGCCATATAGACATCACAGCAGGATTAATGCAAAAATAAATTCAAATCATACTTTATAAAGCTTCATTTACAGGTATTTCATCGTCAGTAAATGAATCCTCATTATCGTTTGGTTCAACCTGTTTATATAATCCTTTCATTTCTTCTTTCAAAACATAACACCATGTCTGTTTACCGTCTATTCTTCTATGTTTCCTTTCACATTTATCCTTAATGCTCATTTGAAAGTTTTTGTCTTTCATGTCTGATGGTTTGCAGCATAGAGCATTTTTACACGTCATACCTGCACACAATTCATCATAATGTGTATTTATCCATTCATCTAAAGGATTTGTTGATAATTCTATTAAATCTTGTTTGGCTTCAGTCATCGGTATGATTCGTACGTTAAATGATGAAAGGTCGTAATTGAGGAAATATGTTAAAAGGTTATCATAAAATTCCTTTGTGCATGAATTCATTAAATTCTTGAAGTAATCAAATTGACCCTTAAATTTACCATTTACTCTTAACACAACGTATCTTCTGTCTCCAACTTCAATTTTGACGGGGTAAACGTTATTAGTTACCAAAATGAAATTGGCAACATTCTGAGCAGTTCTTCTGGGTTGATTCTTTTCATTAATTCTAATCTCATTATCCGTTATAATTGATTTCAAAGCGTTGAAGTTTGCAAGTCTGTCTTCACCTACATTCTTGAGTTCATTAAGTACAAGAAGCATTTTATTCTCAACTACTGAATTGAAATTACCCGTTAGCTCACTTATTTCAGTAATGTTTTTACATGAATAACCAGCGAGAAGTTCAGAAATAATGTTTGTAAATCTGTTTTTACCTGTTCCCTGAAGTCCTTTCAAAATAATTGCTGTTTCATTCTTGATTCCAGGATGTTGAATCATTGATGCAATCCAGCCGAGAAGGTATTTATACACTTCATCGTTATTATCACATATGGCTTCTTTAATGAAATTCATAAACTTTTCAATTTTTGAGTAATCTGGTTTTTCGAGAACGTTGTATTTATAACCCTGAAACGTTGAGAAAACATCTGGAGAATCAGATTTGAAGCAAACACCCTTAACAGTTAATGAGGATAATTGATTTAGTAGTACGTCCCATGCTGTTATGGTTTTACCTTCTTCTTTAAATAATTTAATCATTTTGAGTGACTCTTTCATGGCTGATTGAAGAACGAATGATATTTGATTCATTTTATCATGAATATTATAGTCCTTTTGAATGAAATATTTGTTTCCACAATCTACAAAACGGATTACACGTGATAAATCCTCAATTACTTCAGAACTGTTTTTATACTGATGATTTTCAGCTTTACGTCTAATATCTGTTATCAAGAATGAATCATCAAGTTTGATATCAAATGTTATTTTTGGCTTACGTAATAAAGGTAAAACGTATTCATCATAATATTCTTTTTGATAAAGTTTCAGAATCTTCACCAAAACAAATGGAGAAGTCATTAAATGTGCATATCTACTACGTGCTTTTTCAAAATTACTTTTTGCATTTTCTGTTAAACTGCAGAAGTTATAAACGTTATCGTATGCTTCATTAATTAAATGATTAGGTAACGAATTAATAGCTTGAAACAGTGTGAATAATGTAACTTCTTTTTCTAAATTCATGTTTCCACCGTCATTATGTACTTCAAAATCACTAATACCATCAACTATGCTCTGGGCAAGTTTATCGTCAATGTTTACATCTTTGTTTTCATTCATGATAGTCTTTATTTCTTCATTCTTCTGTTCAACTCTTACCTTAATATTCAAATCATTTAATATATTGTTTACTGTTCTAGTTAATGTTGAATCATAACTTCCACGAATGAATGAGTATGTATTGATTGGTTCTGTTGTATTCTTGCGAACTCTTGAATCAGCCATAACCACTAATGAACGCTTTGAATCATCCATTGAAGTCATGATATCGATATCATAATCATTGCAGGAATAACATTTAATCATTCTGTTCGAAACTGCATAAAAGAAATTAGTGTTGCAATAAATGTGAAGACCTCCTGAAGCGGTTTTAACTATAACGTCTTTATCCGAAAGTTTTGATAAAATATCTTTTCTAACCGTTTCTTTAAGTTCATCACTGTACGATTTATTGATATCAACATCTATAATCGTTAAATTTGATATTTTATTTGCTAATAAAGCCGTACCAGTTTTCCTTCCTCTTCCTCCATCATGTTTGAGGTAGTTATGTAAATCAATCTTGTTTTCACCAATTCTTTCGTTGAGGGTTTTAGTTTCTGCCACAACTAATTCCTCAGCTAATGAATCAATAACTTTTTCATCAGAAATGATAAAGTTGCTGTTGTTGTTTGTTGCTGTCATTTATATAGGAATAAAAAAATAAAAATAATTTTAAAACTAACTTTATTTTTGGGCTGCATCAAATTTCTGGGCTAGTTGTCTAAATGTCATGTTGTCATCATTTTTAAAAGAAGTTAATTTACCTGGTAGCACATGGTAACATGGTAACACCTTCAGTTATTCAAAAATAATTAATTATTGAAGAACCTAAAAACCATTCATGATAAAATTTATTTCTGGGCTAGTTGTCTAAATGTCATGTTGTCATCATTTTTTAAAGAAGTTAATTTACCTGGTAGCACATGGTAACATGGTAACACCTTCAGTTATTCAAAAATAATTAATTATTGAAGAACCTAAAAACCATTCATGATAAAATTTATTTCTGGGCTAGTTGTCTAAATGTCATGTTGTCATCATTTTTTAAAGAAGTTAATTTACCTGGTAGCACATGGTAACATGGTAACACCTTCAGTTATTCAAAAATAATTAATTATTGAAGAACCTAAAAACCATTCATGATAAAATTTATTTCTGGGCTAGTTGTCTAAATGGCATGTTGTCATCATTTTTTAAAGAAGTTAATTTACCTGGTAGCACATGGTAACATGGTAACACCTTCAGTTATTCAAAAATAAATTTTCTTATAAAGCCTCAGGGTCTATTTCCTCAACTATTTCACTACCTTCTTCATCATATTCAATCGTTGCTTCCTCAATTACTGGTAGGAGCTTATTGATTATATCTTTATTCTTTATCATCTTCAGAGATGAAGGATAATATTTTGTTATCGTTTCTCCTTTCTTGTATTCTTTCTGCTGTGATAAATCTAAAACGATACTGAAAAATTCAGCGTTGGAGTTCTTCATAATCGTATAATGTGTATCTTTAATATTTACAAATATTCCTTTCTGTTTAAGTAATACTGCTATTTCATGTGGTGTGTAACGTTTTCTGTCAATAATGATAGCGTATGGTTTAACAAACTGACCGTATTTAGATTCTTTCACAAACTTTTTATTTAATATAACGTTCACGTTTTTTCCATTTATGAATTCACCCTTAACAGCAGTAGCGAGAGCATTGTATGAATAGAACTTGTACTCAGTCATTATTTTATTAAAATTAAAAATATAAATTATTTAAAAAATTAAGTTTATTTTTAAATTATATTTTTTACGGAAAATATTTTTTTTTATTTTTCATAAAAGATGTATAAAAAGCTATCTAGATTAGACCATGAAGAAATTAAGAAGTTATTGAAGAATGCTGACATTGAAGTTAGCAAAAGATATGCGACTAACAAATCTTCATTAGCTAAATACCTCAATGATTACAGAGGTGTAGTCACTTACGAGAAAATTAATGATTACATTAATAACAAAACATTTCCTTTAAATGATGTTCAGGTTAATTTATATCATAAACAAGCGGTACCGAAGGAAGTTAGGCAGGAAATTCATGATATGATGAACGTTGATGTAGGAAGGACAAGGACAGCAGTACCGAACGAATACGGGACAGTAAAACTACAAACAAACTTAGGTCTACAGAATGAGGCACTTGCATTCAGAATGGTTGACTTTAACACTATTGCTTCATTCGTTATAACTGACGAAACAGATTTCATGGAGCTTGAAATAGATGGAAAGAAGCACGAAATAAGATTTCACAATAATGTAGAATATAAGATGGAAACATTAGCTGGAGTGTTAAATGCTCTCATAAATACTACAATAAACAAGGATAACGAAGAAAACTTAATGAATGTTAAACTTATTGCAGGAGTTTTGAAGTTCAATTATGCGAAGGAGTTTAAGATAACACGAATGAGTCATAGAGTTCAATTGCTTCTGGGAGCATACCATATGACATTTCCTTTGAAAAGTGTTGACAAAACGATTGAGATGAAATCTGTTCCATACGTATGTTATGGCAATTGTTTGTACATTGAGTCTAAAATAGCTAATGTCACAGGCATTTCAGGAGTTAATAGTAAAGGTTCAGTAGAATATAAGTCTTTCTGTTATGAAGTAAATTCAATGTTCATTCCAAACGTTCCTGTCATAGCAACTCATTTAGGTAAATGGGTTCGCATAAGCCCTCACAATTTGAAAGACATGCAATTCAGACTAGTTGACTTTCAAGGCGAGCCTGTAGTACTGAAGGCACCAGTGCGAATGACTGTTGAAGTTGACTTTTTAGAAAATATTAAATGCAACAGCTTACAAGAGAACTCAGAGCTAAAAATATAAAGTATGAATGTTATGTATTAGGTCATGAACTTTGGTTGTTGCTGTTTGATGAAACAAATGAGTTAATTATGTCAGTCAAGAGAACAGAAAAATATTGTGTTAGTGAAAACTGCACCAAGTCAATAAGATTAGGTTTGCATTATGAAGATGAGTTCAATAGTGTTGAAGAAGTTTTGGACAGATATTACAAATTGCTAACTTGAAATTTTTTTTGACTGACTGACTGTTTTAATTTACTAAAACATATTTAAGACATAATTTATAGTAAGTAGATAGTTTTGTATACTCGTTCGAATATCTATACTTAAACTCAACTCCTGGAGTACCTGGTATTTCAATGATGCGGATGTTACCTATTTTCATGAATAGTGGAGTTTGACCACAGCATTCGATTTCAGGGTCGAGATAGTCAATGACACATTGCTTTCCTGTTATTCGTGATATAACATTCTCAAGGTCCTCTTTTGTAAGAATTATTTGGTTCTTACTTATAAGATTTGTCAAAAGCTTCTTATCGTCTTTGAGTAAAATTGTTTGGTATAACTGAAGAAGGTAATGGTCTACGTTATCTGAAGGATTTGTTTGAACATTTGTGTAAGGATTGTCGTTGACTTCTCTTGAAAGAACTTGGTCCAGTGGTGGATACTCTAACTTAACATCTGATGTAGCGTTAGCGTTTGAAGCTGAGTTTAAATTCACCGACTTAAGTTCTGGTTCTTTTTCTTTCAAACACTCTGAACTATAGTTCTTTATGACAATATTGTTTGTCGTTCGTGAGTCAACATTTGATGTTGGTTCAATTGGAACATTAACGGCACCAGCTAAGATGGACTTACTTCTCATTTCATATAGAATTAAAACCTTTTATATGTATGAAATGAACAATATACTCGACAAGGGTTTGAATGTAAAGCTAACGAATGAAAATATTGTTGAATTCACTGAGACAGGTGCTGTGTATAAAGATGTAGAACTACTGAACAAAAGAGCTAAGGGAAGAAGCAGAAACATGAACAAAGGGTGGAAGCCTAGAAAAATTTATGTCAATGATGGCTCAGGAGGTTCAAACATAAAGTATGCAGAAAGTTATAGAGTTTATGCTCTCAAGGGAGAGAAGCCTTCATTTAAGAACAGCTATTCTAACACATATCCTCAAAAGCTAACGGATGGAGAAGTGGATGATATGAATGACAGCAAAAATATTAACAGAAATGGCGACAGAGATGCATGGAATTTGTTTACCATCAGTCAATTGAAGGTTAAGCTTTAAAACAATGTTGGTCGTTCCCATGGAATATTTTTGACTTTAATGGTATTAGTCATGATATGAATCTCAAGGTATGAACGAGGAGAGATGAGAGACTTATATGCTTCCCAAATTTCTTCAAAATGTAATGTTATACCTGACTGTTTCCAAATGAGTTCAATGTCATAACGTGAGAAACCTTGAAAGATAACGAAGTCAGTTATGAGACGTTTTATGTTTAAAGCAAGAAAACGCCATGTTTGCATAAGTATTGCTACAGTTAAATGGTAATGTCTGACTTTAGTAATGATGTTAGCTAATGGTGAGTCTGGTTTTGACACTAAACCTTTTCCGGCGAAGTCGTCACAAACGAGCAGAGTGTTTGAAGGATACTTTTTGAAGGGGTATTTTGAAAGTTTTGACAGAATGTAGTTTGTAAGTCGTTTCATATCGTAAACTCCTGAGTACTGACGTAAGTGGTGTTTGTCAATAATTCTTTCCATCTCTTCTGAAGTCTTTTGCATTCCTGACTGTATGAACTCTACGATGGCATAATATTTTCTCTTACGTCGAATGTAACGTTGAAGAAATTCAATGAGTTCGCTATCTGGAACTTTAACGACAGATGCTTGAACTTTACTCATGAATGTTTTCGCTGTTGAGTCCATAGAGTCTGAAGTTGCTGATATAATGATTTGGTCATAGTAAGAGTCGTTTCCTAAACGCTCTGTTATGAGTATATGACGAATGAGGTTAAATGTCTTACCTGAGCCCATCTTTCCACAATAGAAATACACGCCATTTGAACAGAATTCATAATCTTTGCTGAAAGGAAGAATAAGAGAAGAGTTAAGTTTGTCTGTAGTTTCATTCATGTCTTCATCTACGTCATGTATTAAATGCTTCATTTTATCTCCATTAAAAATGCAAGTCAGAAATATTCAGAACATAGCACCGAGTCTAACTGACAAGAGTATAAAGATATACTATGAACACGTTATGATGAAACCTACCAAAATTCAAGAAAGTCAGTATACTTATGAATATCCAAGACACTGGGTAGAGTATGTAGGAGGTGAGAAAGCTATTGAAATAAGACAAGTTAGAAGTATTCCAGCAGGAAGAACAATATTATTGAAGAACTTTAATGTTTTGAGATATAATGATGAAACAAAGAAGCAAGATAGTTTCCCTGTTGCTGTGTATGTGAACCTAGACACAGGAGATGACATGAAAGTTTTTAACACAAAACTTCAAACAGTAGTGAGAGAACAACTGACTGCGGAAGGATATCCATTACCTTCAGAAGTTAGCATAGCATATAATTTTGAAACAAATGCAATAGATTTTAAAGTCGTCTCTGCAAAGAAGTCAGGTTTTACATTTAATGAAGCAGATGTATATTCGAATGAAAACTTCAAAGCTATTGCATGGTTAGATAATGACGATTGCTTTAAGAAAATCTTTAAATTCAGTGACTCAAAGATGTCAATAGATGACCTTCGTGGAATGTTACCATCGACGTTTACAGTTGAAGGTTCAGCAGGATTGCTTACAAGTTTTTCAATTGGTGGCATTTGGTCTCGTGAGAACATTGTTATAAAATCCAGTATAAGTGAATTTGCTGAAGAATCTATATTATGTCTTTCAAACTACATGTATTCGCCACCGAAGCATTATAGTATAACAAACTTTGTCAGTAAGTTTAACATAAGACTTGTTGAACCTTCTTCAATGAAAGATGTTGTGCTACCTAAAGATGGAAAGGATGGACTCATTATTGAGATGATTTTAATAGCATATTAAATGAGTTTGTTCTTGAAAGTCATTCATGATGAAATAACTGTTGTAGAAGATGTTAGCAATTGTTCAGACATTTTGAAGCGAATAGAGGAGATAAGAAAGAAGTTAGATAGACCGCAAAGCGGTGAGGGCGAAGCCCGTGAGAATGTTTATGTTTCATTGACTTTCTCCAGTAACGAGAACTTTTATGAGATAATATTGAAGAGAGATGATTTTAATATGGTGTAAATGGTAGCTTGGGCAGCTTTAGACGCAATGGGAACAAAAGCATTAGCATTTGGAGCAAAAGCACTTGGAGCTTATGACGCAGTAAATAAAATGAGTGGAGGAAGAGTTTCAAAGACATTAGACGCAAATAAAGGAAAGATTGGAGGCTGGGTTGCAAAGAAGTTAAGATTAAATAAAATAGGGCTCATAAATAAAGCATCCAATTTGGTTGCGACTGAGTCAGAAAATGCTTTAGGAAAGGACGATGAGTTTGCAAAACACGCAAAAGACTTTAATGACCAGATGAAAGGTGAAACAATACATTTAAATAGAGTCGATGAAACTAAAGAAAATGTTTCTTCTCCACAACTTCCACCAGCAGTTCTTCCGTATGGTCCCTATGGAATGTATGGAAACCCTTACGAAAGACCATTTGACCCATTGACTGGTGGAAGTAATTGGTATCATTATGGACGAAGAAGAAAGACAGTCAAGTTGGAGACGGACGTAAAGAAAGCAACTAAAAAGAAACCAAGGAAGAGAGTTATAAAGCAATGAATTCAACAGGGTGAAAAACCGGGTGAAAAAAGAGGTGAGATTTCACCACTTCACCTAAATTTATTTTTGTGCTATGTTTTCATACGCGTGAAGGTAGTGATATCATTTATTTTTAAGTTTATTTTTTTTATTTTATTTTTATTTTATTTTTATATAAATGACAGAACAAAAATAAAGCATATCTACTCAACAGGAATGAGACCCTTACTGACTATGTATTTGTTTAATGCTTGATGAAAACAATGGTACATATTATCGTATGGGTATACACAGCGTCTGTTTCCATCGTCGTCGTATATGTAGAGCTCAAATCCAGTCCAACCTTCTTTTGTACAATATGTAGCTTTATTTAAGTATGCATTTATGTAGATAAGGCAATTTTCTTCATCGCTCCAGAAATAATTTTTGTTCTTTGTTGAAATAGTTTTCGTTCCTCTGCGACCATAAGGAATGTATGCAATGAACTTTGCGTCATAAGGGATTGTAATATATTCAGGGTTTCTTTCATCGTCAATGGGTCTGTCTTTGTTAAAATGCATGTTTCTCAGTTTTACTTGAGTTTTGAATAGTTCACGGAAACGTTCTGGGAAAGAGTCATAGTAAATGTAGTCGGACATGTCTTTGTAATGAAATAAAAAATTTAAAAAAATAAAAATAAGGTTATTTTTTATTTAGTGAGGACGGTAGTGAATTCGTTAGTGAAGTCATTAGTGAAGTCGTTTATGTGTCAGATGGTTTTGTAAATATTTAAGGTTAAGTTGGTGTTATGGTTGTGTTGTAAAATATACGTTACCAGTTTCGTAAAGTGTCAAAACCGCTAAGTGGTGTACGGAGGCGCGCAGTGCCACAGTGCACGACTTAGGGATACTAACTTTATTTATATTCCTATTATGCCGACAATTTCAAAAATTGGACGTTGATTTTGTTTTTTGTGATTTTTTTTCTGATGATCTCAATTATTGAGAATAGTTCAGAATATTAAAAATATCTTTTTGTATTTTTCAATACAAATAACTATTTGCAATGAAATTTAATTATAATTTTTGAGAAAATTGAATTTTAAAGTAGAATAGTATTGCCTGTCTAATGCAAAATATGCAATTTTCTAAAGTTATACTTCTAATTATTTTTCAAAAGATTCAAACCGTTGCTCAGATCATGTATTCAGAAGCATTTACATACTATCTCCCATTTTTAAGATCCACTTGCCCAGACTTCAGTCTTATTGGAACACCTGGTCTTCCAATCCCTAAGTTTGATTCGAATTTTGTTGCAAATCTCGCAAGATCAGTCAAAACAATTTTCGCTACCGAACCTAGTTGTTTGGTAATCAATACTTCGGTAGTTGTTGTTGGAGATCTTCATGGAAATTTTATTGATTTATGCCGAATTATTGCTCACGCTGGAATGCCGAAAGATACAACTTATCTATTCTTAGGAGATTACGTTGACCGTGGACAGTATTCAACAGATGTAGTGATCCTATTGTTTATTTTGAAATATACTTATCCCGATAAGGTTTTTATGCTTCGAGGAAATCACGAATTTCAAACAATGAACTTTTACTACGGATTTTACAACGAAGTTCTTGCAAATTACAATAAGGATGTATATACTTCTATTAACGACGCTTTTACTTATTTATCATACTCTGCAATCATCGGCGGCAATACTTTTGCGGTTCATGGTGGTTTGAGCCCTCTATTTACTAGCTTAAACGACGTGAAGTATATCTCAAAGCCAGTCCTAGATTCAGAGATTGAAAAACCAGAATCGCTGATTGCTGATATATTATGGTCAGATCCATCATGCGATGATACAGAGTTTTCTGATTCGTTCCGTGGCCATGGAAAGATATTTGGAAAAAAGGTTATTACGAAATTCCTAGAAACAACAAAAATGAAAAGAATAGTAAGAGCCCACCAATGTGTTCTAAATGGTCATGAAACTCTTCACGATGGCAAGATTATTACAGTTTTCTCTTCTTCAGCCTATAATGATGTCAAATCTAATAAGAGCGCAATTCTAATAATGAATGCCAATGATACCCAAGAAATTGTTACATTTGATACTATCAGAACAGTGACCAGAGATAAAGCCGTTTTCTATCCTGTTGGAGATAGTGCCCCGCGTTGTACAAAATTACATATAATAGGTCAGCCAAAGAGGCCTCCGATCAGAGCATCATTTTCTACTGTTGGAATTAATAAGAATTTAGGCGTATCGCCTACAATGCGTATGCTTACAATGAAACCAAAGCTCGTTAGAAGAGTTTCGGCACCTATGGAATAAGATTGTTTTGTTATATTCTTATTCTATTTGTTAAAATTATATGTGTAAAATGTTTGTGGTCTTATTATGAAATTTGATTCATTTTTATTTAATTTTGTCTGCGATTATATTTATTCATTCATTAACAATATCAAAAGTAAAAAAAAATATTAAATTTTTATAATTAGTCTCTATACTAATTTATATACAAAGATATAATTACTTATCTTATGTCTGTATAAAATATTTAGTTATTTTAGAATATATCGTAATTTTTATGATGATAACAAATATAATTTTAGGCAGCCTTTAAATATCTTCTTGGAACTGTTGTATAAACAGCAGTCTTGCCTGAGGATATGTAATATCTGTAGAAAATCCATTCCAATGAGAAGTATTGATCTTCGATCGCGCAACCACTCAAACCTTTGATTTCAAAGTTATAATCGCCCTTAGTAAGAGTAACTGTGTTTGTTGTTTCATATATTCTTACTCTATCTTCTTGGCATTGGAACTGATTATCGTAATCAATGCTACCAATTGATATAGAAGTTCCCGATATAGTAAACTTTACATCATTTTGGCTAGATATTCTAAATCTGTAGTTTCCATTCTGTGGAATTGTAATTTTTCCCTTAACAGAATAATTTGCGTAACTAGAGGAGTAATAGACAGTATCTTGGCCAACATTAATAGACTCAGACTTATCAACAACGCTACCATATGTAAACGTGATAGTTGGGTCTTGATGACCGGAATCTACAGTTGTCATATCATCACAGAATGGTTCAAGTCCATTTGTGCAAACGCAGGTATTTTTATCTCCACTAATACCATCACTTGGAACGCCGTTATTATGGCAATCTAAGTCTACTGCTTCACAGTTGCTGCCAACATAACCAACATCGCATTCATCATTAATAGAACAGTTATATGTATTTGTGGAATCCATAGTTGAATAGCTTTCTGGACTTGTATATGACCATTGTGCATAGTTAAATCTATTACCCCAGCAGCCATCTGCAATTGCCCATGTTGTAAATTTATAGCATCTTCCTTTTTGAAGATAGAGGTTTGTGATTGTATCAACATTATCACTACCACCTACGCAAGATCCGATCCAAGTGGCATAACCATCTCCTGCATAAGAACTTTCAAACCAAACGCCACCCCAATCTCCGCCGTATTCCCTGATATTGTAATTTCCTGTTGTTGGAGGACAAAATGCACCATATATATGGCCAGTTATACCATAAAATGTTTGTGGAACAGTTATATATGCAGTTGTAGTGAACTGGCGATATGTTGGATCTTTGGTATAGTTATAGTTTACACCACGCATGCATGAGGCAAACTGAGATCTTGATGCTGAAGCAGTAAGAATGCTAAACGAAGAAAACATTAAATATGATTTAAATTCGCGTCATATTTAGCAAACCTATTGAATATCAACATTTGGCTTAACAATCAGTTACGTATTAAAAATAAATATAAATTCATTATAATCTTATTCCAGTCAATTATTTTTTGAAAGAGCGTCGGAAAATAAAGGTTGAATAAGTTATGCTAAGACACAAGAAATTACGAATATTTAATAATGGGTAATTGAATTCCATTCAATTATTTCATATTGGGGAAAAAAGTCTTAATTCCATTCAAAAAAGTCAAAATTGTTTTCTCGGACTTTCTGTGTTTCAAAATTTTACGAAAAAAATTTGAATAGTGAAATAAAATTTTTAGATCAGCACATTGGTACATAATAAGATAATAAACAAGATTATAATATTTTTGGTAAGGGCCAAAAAGTGACAAATTGTAAACTTCATAAACTTTCTAAAAAGGAATAAAGCGCGTAAGGGAAGGTCGTGGTGACCTCAATCATGACGTGGAAAAAGAAATTATTAGTTTTCAAAAGATAATCTGAAATGGAATTTGCATAATTGAACCAACTAGTTAGAACGGATAAGATAATCCGGTCTTACTAACGGAATCTAAAAGGGGTAAGGAAAAATTGGTCTGAAATTGGTATATTATAGCATAGTAGTAGATGATGCGGGTTGTGTGACTTTTTTTGTTACATCTATATATAGACGATGCATTAAAATATATTTATTTATAAATCATTAAAAAATTAACATTAATTTTAAAATAAATTCTTTTTTTATCTTTTATAAAAGAAGCTATATATAGATGATGTCAGATATTCCGCGATTAATTAAACATTGTTTAAATCCTGAATGGGTTAAACTTCAATTTAAAAATGAAGATTGTGAATTATTAAATGAATATGAAAGCCAAAATAAGCTAATGAGGTATAAATATAATGATAAAGAATATTTAATTTCATGGAATCAATGGAGTCATAATCAAAGACCTCATAAACGAGAAGAAGAAATTGAAAATAATGAAATGGAAATCATTGATGACATTAAAGAGGATGGAATTCCTAAATTTTGTAGAAAAACCTTTAGAACTAAGTTAGGAGCATATAAACGTAGAGTATTAAATCCTGAATACATAAAACATTTATTTAAAAAGGAAGACTGTGAATTATTAAACGCTAATGAATATGAAAATGCTAAATCAAAACTGAGATATAAATATATTGGAAGTGATGAAAGGTGTAAAGATAAAGATAAAGTTTATACAGTTTCATATAATAACTGGCACACGTTAGGGATAAGAAAACATTTAGGGGATTATGGGAAATGTTCTGAATTCTTCAAATCTAGTATGTACGAGAGAGTAAAAGAAATTAGAAATAATTATTTTCATGAATGAAAGATTCACTACCATAATGAAATAAAAAAATAATTTATTTTTTTATCTTTTATAAAAGAAGCTATATATAGATGATGTCAGATATTCCGCGATTAATTAATTATTTTTGAATAACTGAAGGTGTCACTATGTCACTCAGTGTCACTCGGTTATTTAACTTCTCTGAAAAAATGTGACAACATGACATTTTGACAACAGGTATGAAAGGAGGTATAAATATAATGGAGTCATAATCAAAGACCTCATAAACGAGTAAAAGAATTTGATGAGTTCAACATAGAACTTTAAGAAACTAATGATTATTTGAATTTATGAAATCAATTATTTGATTCATTCTTTCTTCAATAATTTCTATTCTTTTTGTTAAATCATCTATTTTCATTAATGAGGTGATTCTTGATTGAGGAATAGATTTCAAACTAACCACTCCTTTTATTTTTGAAATTTTGAATCCATCAACTTTAAACATTTTATTCAATTTACATGTTGTCAATTCTTCAAATAATTTTTTATTATTAGCATAATAGTCATTAAATTCTTCAACAGATGAAAAAATTTTTATTTCGGTAATTGGTTTAACAACGTTTATTTTTTGTTGAACATTTTCACTTTCATTTATTTCTTCCTCCTCTGTTTCATTTATTTTTAACATCGGTTTCATTTATCATTAAATAAAAATTAGAATATAAGTGATGAAATATATTTTTTAATTAATATTAAATCAGAAATGGCGGCAGGATTCTTTAAAAAATTATGGGATGGAATTAAGAAAGCTGCAGGTTGGGTTTATAAAAAGGTTATTAAACCTGTTGCAAACTTTTTGGCACCAGTAGCGAAAACGGCAGGAACTATCATAGGTGGAGTATTAGGTACTAAAGCAGGTAATCCGGTGATGGGAGCACAAGCAGGTAACGCAATTGGTGGAATTGCTGAAGGAATACTTAATAAAATAGGAGGTAGATAGTGGAAAAATAAATAAATATTATTTTTATCTTAGTATCGGTTGAAGTCTTTGATAAACTTTATCTCCTTTATTTAATATTTCTCTTATTGGGGCAGCTTTTGGCGTTATTGATTCAGCAACATCACTAATTGCTTCTTTATTCTTAAATATCCAATTTGCTCCTTTCTTCAATGTTTCCCAAACTTTATGCGCTCCTCTTTTTACTTTATCCCATAATTTTTTAAAGAATCCTGCCGCCATAGTTGATTATTTCATTAAAATTAAAAATTCATTTTCATATTTTAATTTTGATTTTTTATTTAATAATAAATGACGACTAACTATTTGGTGCCAAACACTAAACCGATTAATGGAAATGTGTTTCATTCATTCGAAAAGATAAATGAAATATTCGCGAAGAATGATGGAAGAAGATATTATAGAGAACTTGAAAGTTCATGCTATGACTCTGATACTCCATATTTTGATGATAAACAAACTCATTTAAGAATTACAAATCCAGCTCATGATGTGAACCAATTAGGTGACACATATATTAAACGCAAAGTTAAAGCAACTCTAGTTTCAAATAAAGCTTTCACATGTGATGCCGCTTTTAAATGCATGCGTTTATTCGTTGGTTACAAATCATCAAATCAAAGCTTTAAACAATTAGAAGTAGAAACTGAAAGAGGTGATGCCGGTTATCTTCAGATGGATTGCGCCCGTGAATCTTTTGCATTTGCAACATATAAACCAAAATCAGAAAGGAAAGTTAAAAAGTTTGTTCATTCGTTATATAATAATGTTCAAAAATATGATAACTCAGTATGTGGTAAATATATTGACCCTTCAGAAGTTTTCAAGAAAGCAAATGAAGAAGTTGATGTCACTTTTGATATGATTATTCCGGTAAATGATTTGTTAGCATTTCAGGCGTTCGATGATTATCCTAAATCATTTGGTGAAATCATTCTTAAATATTATGTTTTCAGGGATACTTTAGTATTTTGTCAGGTTGACCCGTTAAGAGTTGCTGATTTACAAAATTACGTTTATGAAAAGATAACTGATGAAAATTATGAAAAGATTATGAATCATGTTTATAAATATGATCGCAAATTCCAACAAATCGGACTTCCTGCCAAATTAATTACAAGCTTAGCCGCTACATCTGCTGACGCAACAGTTGATGACGTTATTATTTCATGCACAAAGATGGAAGTTTTAGAGGATAAATGCATTACACCAGGATACGGTTTAATTGAAGAATCAGTTAAAGCAATACCACGTTTATTCAGTAAGGAAGATCCATTCATGATTCCAGCTCAACATATTGACGTTCGTTCACTAAATGGAGGTTGCATCACTCCTGAAGGTATTAGCTCAGATTTCTCATACGCTCTTCATAATGTTACAGATGTTGTGTTAACATTTCCGAAGAATGCAATGCAAAGAACGGTTTTAGAAAATCCAATGCTTCGAGGTCTTCAGGTCACTATAGATTCCAGAAACTTCCCTGATCAAGCGATGACCACAGTGGGCGACATATTCTTTACACGTATGCTTCAAGCTTCTGATTTAGATGGAGTGAATGAATGCACGGAAGAATACGAGGACTCATTAACTAGACCACTGAATGATGATGATGGCGCGCCGTTAGCTAGAACATGGAAAGACCAAACTTCATTCTTATGCACTATTCCAGTTCAACGTGATGGAGCAGGTATATTCTTTGATGGATTAGAAACTTTCAACTCACAAGTTACAGTACAAGTGAAAGCTTATCCAATCATTCAGGGTGTAAATGACACTTACTGTTCAAAGGTGACAAATCCTCCTCAGGTTTGGTTTACTAGGACTACATATTGGACATGGACACCGGACGAAGGTTTGAAATATCATCCAACAGGTACACCACCACAGTATAGAAGTTCATATGATGAAATATTGATGAATAGAAATGTTTAAAATTATAAATTTATTTTTGATTAAATGGATTTAAATTCATCCACCCCTTATGAAGAATTAGCGGGAGTATATAATACATACGTAGATGATATGATTAATGAAGCATTGAGTGATAATAGAAATGCTCTATCTAAGGAAAAATTAATGAAAATTCCATATTCTGAATGTTACTTAAATTCAATCACTGCAGCAATTGGTAAACAAAATAAAGGTAAAACATTAACGATATTAAAACAAATTATCATTATTGCTAACACTTCCCCCCATTCACATGTGTTAATTTATATCAACCGTTCAGGTTCACCTTCAGATGATACATTTGAATCTTTAAAGCATTTAATCAAAATTCCAATTATTTATTTATCACAAGAAGAAGCAGAAGATTATTTAAAAAACTTTTTAATGTATAAAGAATTATATAATACAATCAAGAAGCAAGGATTAGAGGATAAAATTATTGATAAACAACGGGATGAATTATTTGAAACACTTTCTATTTCAAATTTTGATAAAGAATTTTTGCATTCACTCATTTTTCTAGATGATGCAGTGAAATCAAAACTAATAACAAATGAGAAATCATATTTTAATCAGTTATTAACTCAATGTCGACACATTCAATGTTCATTCTTCATGGCTGTTCAATATTTCAAAGCATTAAGCACAAACATTAAATCAAATCTGTCCACCCTTTTCATTTTCAGTGGTTTTAGTCGTCAACAGTTGAACGTTATGCTTTATCAAGTGAATTTACCAATGAGCATTAATGAACTTTACACACAATATCAACAATTAGGTGAACATGGAAAAATAATAGTTGATTTAAATAAAGGAAGTGTTAAATTTGATTAACTTTTTATAATTAATTTTTATTTTTTATTTATAATTAAACATGACAGAAATAGCAAATCTTCTACAGGTTCCATTAAAACAAGGGACAAACAAAAAGGGTCCATATAATAGAACTATGAAAGTTCCAGACGGAATGAAAGAATTAGTCCACATTGTTGCTGGTCTTCAAAAAGATGTTAAACAAATGAGAAATGTTTTAACATTACCAGAAGCTCAAGCATATGCCAAACGTCATGGACCAAATTGGGAAGCACACGAAGCAGACATTACAGGACCAAATGGAAAACCTGATGGTATAAATGAAGTTTTCGTTACTGATGGTCAAGGTAATATTAAAGTCATAAATGGGTATAAATTAACTATAACTGATTATCCTAAACGTAAAGCATATAATGAACGTTATCCTATGCAATTTGATGAAAATGGAAAAGCTGTTAAACAATACATTGGAGAAGGTGAAAATGGTCCAATTAATTCATACCGTTATGATCCATATTCTTATTTCAATGAAGAATTAAATGCTATTGAAGAGGGACCGGATGGATTACCACGATATGTTAATCAGTTTGATGGTCAATAATGCAAATTTGAGACCTGAAATTCCAGCTAAGAAATTCTTTAAAGTTGCTTTATTCGATCCAGTGTTCAATGAACAGAAAGAAGCAATGAAAGCAGAATTTAAACCAATTCAAGTGGCAAGAATTTCTTCATCTTCACTTTCAGAAGCGTTCAAGGAATTGATAAAGAAACCACTTTATTCTCAACAAGGTTATAACTTTGATTTAATTAAAGAAAGTGACAGACGTAAATTAGAAAAATCAGATGGTTTTAAGAATGCATGTAATGAAATGATTAAAGATATTGTAAATGATAAAATAAGACTGGAAGAAACTCAAAGCAATATCAATAACATAATTGGTGCAGTTACAAAGAAAGTATAAGCAAACAATGATGAACCTTGGGATATTACCGTAACAACTAAATAAAACTTTAAATATATTTTTCTTTTTTTATTCAATTATAAATGAGAAGACGTTTCACAAGTCAAAAGAACACAAACGCAAAAGCAGAGATTACGGTTGGTTATAACGTAAATGATGATAAATCACGAATTATTCAAAATGTTAAAGTTAATGTTAGTCCTGAATTAACAAGGTCAGCAACTCAACCAAATTTATTAACTCGTGACTTACCAAAGAATGAGGAGAATGAAGAAAACCATGAGAATGGAGACCCAATCATTTTATCCGAACCTGGTAAAGAACCCGTTGAAATCCCACTTATCCAACATACCCCCCACCTCTTTCATCAAACATCGAGAACCCAGGAATCTACGATTCCAGTCGCAATGCGCCATATAAAATAGACATTAATTCTGAATTAATGAAAATTTACCGTGATATAATAATTAATAATTATGATTCAATAATAAATTTAATTGACCAATCTGGTTTAATTATTTTACCTTATGAATCATTAATTCACATTATCGCCATTCTTTGTGATGTTCAAGATTCAGACGTTAAGATTCAATTTTTCATAGATGATGAGGTTTCATGCTGCGGAACAGTTGCAAAAATAAATCCTATAAAGGATATTAGCACAATTAAGATATCAAAGAACGGAACAACAACTGAACTTCATTTAACATATAATGATATTTATAATAAAATAGTTGATGAATATAAAATATCACTTGAAAAATTCTTTGTTAAGGCTATTTAATATTCAAGCATTAACATTATCGAATAATAATCCTTTGAATCATAATCAATAATAATTGACCTTTCACCAGTTTCTATCGTTTGTTTTATTTCTTTTTGTTCCCCACTATCCGGATCGGTCATTGTAATTGTTTTTGTTATAGTATCAGCTTTATCTTTAACTTCAATCTTTTTTCCATCAGGATATTTAAACCAAAATTCCAAAAATTCGATATTGTCAATCTGTTCATATTTTAATCTATCAATTACATTTTTAATACCATCTGAAAATCTTATGAAATGGTCATTATATGGGTTTGATTGAACTAAATTTGAATGAAGTGAAATATAACCTGATGATGAATATGACATTGACTCATATTTTCTGAAAACACTAAAATTTATAACATGAATGAATTTCTTATTCGTTGAATTTATGAATTCTTGAGGTAATCTTATTCTAGTTTTATTTATCACTGGAAAATAACGCTTTACCATATTTTTAATCGTAATAAAAATGTCAATTATCAATATTATTTCGAATAATAGTTGTGAATTAAATTTAACAGTTAGCGGAATTTATAATGTTACTCTCGTTTCTGTGAGTGGTAAATTTAATCCCATTCTTTTAGACCCTTCAGATTATATATCATTTATTAAAGATGACCATGAAAAAACGTATGATATGTATATAAATAATGTGATAGCGAAATGGGATATTAACATGATTTTAAGTTATTTAAATGAATCATTTATCGTATGGTATGAAGAAAATTTTAAATCAAAACCCGATAAACTTTTTGAACTTGATGAAATAAATAACCTTATTAAATTCCCGCTGAAAATTAAATTTTGTACTCCTCATCTTCGTTCATTGTTGGGGATATTAAATTTTGAAAAAGATGTTGGGGATGTTTTGTATTCTGACACTGGTTCCAATTTCATTTTAATCAAATGTGATAAAGTTAATACCCCAATGAGATTTTCACATCAAACATTAGACCCTAACTCTTACCCATCAATACAAAACATTTTATCCATCAACTTAAACATATTTTCTTTATCATATCCGTTTCAATTATCTGGGAATTCATTTATTCTTCATTCAAAAGATTTATCAAATATTAAATTTAGAATAACCGACCTATTTGATTGTGATTTAGAATTCATGAATGAAATATTATGGCAATTTCAAATAGAAAAAATAGCTGATGAGATAACAGATTAAATATTTATTTTTAAATCATAATAAATGATTAAACAACAGCAACCACAGCAACTTAAGGCACAAAGCACCCAGGTCCCTCAGACCATTACATACGCCATATATGCATATAATTCAAAGACGGCAGAACAAACGCAAAGGTTGAAATATGGAGATTTGGAGATAGTATTGAAAAATGACCATTTCGAATTCGTTTGCAATGGTGGTGCAGTGATATCAAATATAAAAGAAATTTTATTTATGAATTCAAAAATTAAAGGTATAACGGATGATATAACATCAATTCCACCAGAAGAACAAAGATATTACGCATTAAATGCATTTCCTAAAGTTTTGAAGATTGGAAGATTTAATTTAAATGAGGAATTCATAAAAGGTTTCCTAAATGACATAATGAAGAAAGCAGATAAAGAATGTGTTGCTGCTGCGTTAGAGAAGAAAGCGGATAAGGAATATTTTAACGAAAAAGATAATGAAATTAAAGAAAGGGTTGAATGGTATCATGAATGGACATCAAAGATTTTAAAAACTAAAGCCGATACAGGATGGGTTTCAGGATGTTTAGACCTTAAAGCGGATAAGGAATATGTTAACGATGAGTTAGGGAAGAAGGCAGATAAAACATATGTTAACGATGAGTTAGGGAAGAAGGCAGATAAGGAATGTGTTGCTGCTGCGTTAGGGAAGAAGGCAGATAAAACATATGTTAACGATGAGTTAGGGAAGAAGGCAGATAAAACATATGTTAACGATGAGTTAGGGAAGAAGGCAGATAAAACATATGTTAATGAAATATACCAAAGTTTGATAGGAACAACAAAAAATATTGAAACTATTGTTGGGGATGTTTCTATCGATGAAGAAAATAAATATTTTAGATGGCAGTTTGTACACTCCTTAAGAAATGGTACACGGTATAAACTCATTCCGAAAAATAACAATGAAATGTATGTAAGCTATATAAAGAATGATGGTACACAAGTTAAAGTTCCATTAGACAACAACTGTTACTTAAACTTATATGGAGACGAACAAAAGAAATATTTAAGAGTTTATGAAATGACAGATATGACATTGCCTGACCCAGCTCCAGTACCATATTATTATGACTATGGATATGACGGCGGAGCACTACATGCGGATGAACGAAAGCTAACATTATATTTAGATTATTATAGATATAAAAGATATAATGCAATAGAAAAAACGAGAATAGTATATTATTATACAGATGACAAAAATAAATATTATAGTCAAGACTTTACCTACCCTGAAAACATAAGATTATATTATAAAAAATATTCTGACACAAACCAGAAGAAACCTGAAATGGTTGCACTATATTTTAAGTTCAAAAGAGACAATCCTATATTATCTCATATGTTTGATTTAATGAACCCAGTAGGTTCTATTTATACATCTATGGATGCAAGAGGTCCTCAAGTAATGTTTGGTGTTGGTGCATGGGAACAAATAGTTGACAGGTTTTTGTATTGTGCAAACTCTTCAAAGGAAACAGGCGGAAGTAAAACGATTTCAGGTGAAAATTTACCTGCACATAGTCACTACATAGATTTAAGCACATCTCAAGCGGGTTGGCATAAGCATAGATATTGGGATTGGTCAGGAATGACAAAAGGTAAAGGATATGATGTTAAAGACGATGTTAAGTTTGCTATAAATTGTTACTGGAGTGACACTCAGGGAGAAGGAAACCATACACACCACGTTTCAGGATATACACAAACAACGGGACAAAGTAAAGAATACATGCCACCTTACATGACAGTTTACGCATGGTATAGAGTTCAATGAATGAACTAAATAAATTTTATGTTTGTAATTAATTAGGTAATGAAGTAATGGATGAACTGCAGAAATAAATGTTTTCGTTAATGATTTTAGGTTATTCAATTATTAATTATTTTTGAATAACTGAAGGTGTCACTATGTCACTCAGTGTCACTCGGTTATTTAACTTCTCTGAAAAAATGTGACAACATGACATTTTGACAACAACACAGGTTATTCAATTATTAATTATTTTTGAATAACTGAAGGTGTCACTATGTCACTCAGTGTCACTCGGTTATTTAAATTCTCTGAAAAAATGTGACAACATGACATTTTGACAACATTTACGAAAATTTGATGTAGTCCAAAAATAAAGTTAGTTTTAAAATTATTTTTATTTTTTTATTCCTATATAAATGACAGCAACAAACAACAACAGCAACAACAACATCATTTCTGATGAACAAGTTATTGATTCATTAGCTGAGGAATTAGTTGTGGCAGAAACTAAAACCCTCAACGAAAGAATTGGTGAAAACAAGATTGATTTACATAACTACCTCAAACATGATGGAGGAAGAGGAAGGAAAACTGGTATGGCTTTATTAGTAAATAAAATTTCAAATTTAACGATTATAGATGTTGATATCAATAAATCGTACAATGATGAACTTAAAGAAACAGTTAGAAAAGACATTTTATCAAAACTTTCGGATAAAGATGTTATCGTTAAAACCGCATCAGGAGGTCTTCACATTTATTGCAACACTAATTTCTTCTATGCAGTTTCGAACAGAATGATTAAATGTTATTCCTGCAATGATTATGATATTGATATCATGACTTCTATGGATGATTCAAAACGTTCATTAGTGGTTATGGCTGATTCAAGAGTTCGAAAGAATGCAACAGAACCAATCAATACATACTCATTCATTCGTGGAAGTTATGATTCAACATTAACTAGAACAGTAAACGATGTATTAAATGATTTGAATATTAAGGTAAGAGTTGAACAGAAGAGCGAAGAAATAAAGAGTATAATGAATGAAAACAAAGATGTAAACATTGACGATAAACTTGCCCAGAGCATAGTTGATGGCATCTGTGATTTTGAAGTACATAATGACGGTGGAAACATGAATTTAGAAAAAGAAGTTACATTATTCACACTGTTTCAAGCAATTAATTCGTTACCTAATCATTTAATTAATGAAGCATACGATAACGTTTATAACTTCTGCAATTTAACTGAAAATGCAAAAAGTAATTTTGAAAAAGCACGTAGTAGATATGCATATTTAATGACTTCTCCATTTGTTTTAGTGAAGATTCTAAAACTATATCAAAAGGAATATTATGATGAATATGTTTTACCTTTATTACGTAAGCCAAAAATAACATTTGATATCAAACTTGATGACTCGTTTTTGATAACAGATATTAGACGCAAGGCTGAAAATCATCAGTATAAAAACAGTTCTGAAGTAATTGAGGATTTATCACGTGTAATCCGTTTTGTAGATTGTGGAAACAAATATTTCATTCAGAAAGATTACAACATACACGACAAAATGAATCAAATATCATTTGTTCTTCAGTCAAACATGAAAGAGTCACTTAAAATGATTAAATTATTTAAAGAAGAAGGTAAAACAATAACAGCATGGGATGTACTACTAAATCAATTGTCTTCATTAACCGTTAAGGGTGTTTGCTTTAAATCTGATTCCCCCGATGTTTTCTCAACGTTTCAAGGTTATAAATACAACATTCTTGAAAAGCCTGATTACTCAAAAATTGAGATGTTTATGAATTTCATTAAAGAAGCCATTTGTGATAATAACGATGAAGTGTATAAATACCTTCTCGGCTGGATTGCATCAATGATTCAACATCCTGGAATCAAGAATGAAACAGCAATTATTTTGAAAGGACTTCAGGGAACAGGTAAAAACAGATTCACAGACATTATTTCTGAACTTCTCGCAGGTTATTCATGTAAAAACATTACTGAAATAAGTGAGCTAACGGGTAATTTCAACTCAGTAGTTGAGAATAAAATGTTTCTTGTACTTAATGAACTCAAGAATGTTGGTGAAGATAGACTCGCAAACTTCAACGCTTTGAAATCAATTATTACGGATAATGAGATTAGAATTAATGAAAAGAATCAACCCAGAAGAACAGCACAAAACGTTGCAAACTTCATTTTCGTAACTAATAACGTCTACCCTGTCAAAATTGAAGTTGGAGACAGAAGATACGTAGTTTTAAGGGTCAATGGTAAATTTAAGGGTCAATTTGATTACTTCAAGAATTTAATGGATTCATGCACAAAGGAATTTTATGATAATTTGCTGACGTATTTTATGCAATATGACCTTTCATCATTTAATGTACGAATCATACCGATGACTGAAGCCAAACAAGATTTAATTGAATTATCAACAAATCCTTTAGATGCATGGATAAATACACATTATGATGAATTGTGTGCAGGTATGACGTGTAAAAATGCTCTATTCTGCAAACCATCAGACATGAAAGACAAAAACTTTCAAATGAGCATTAAGGATAAATGTGATAAGAAACAGAGAAGAATAGATGGTAAACAAACATGGTGTTATGTTTTGAAAGAAGAAATGAAAGGATTATATAAACAAGTTGAACCAAACGATAATGAGGATTCATTTACTGACGATGAAATACCTGTGAATGAAGCTTTATAAAGTATGATTGGAATTTATTTTTGCATTAATCCCACTATGTTGTCAAAATGTCATGTTGTCACATTTTTTCAGAGAAGTTAAATAACCGAGTGACACTGAGTGACATAGTGACACCTTCAGTTATTCAAAAATAATTAATAATTGAATAACCTAAAATCATTAACGATAAAATAACTGATAACAAAATTTTATTTTTATATAAATGAATACCCCACAAGCTCAAAATTTACCACGAATCATAACAAGGGAGGAAATGATAAAAATGATGCAAGAACATGTTAAAAATAACAAACCACTAAAATTGAGAAAATGTGGTTATGCAGTAATGATGGAAAGAGAGATGTTGTCGAAGAGGAATAAAAATTAAATTTGGATTGAGTTTAAAAATTCATCTTTATTAAATTCATCTCTTCCAATCAATTTATTTATTCTATTAAATTCTTTTATTTTTGCTTCACTCAGTTTAAGGATTGAACGGTAAGTTTCTAATTTTTCGATTATTTCTTTATCGTTTTCAACCCCACCGCATTGTGGCTTCTTTTTGTAATAGCATATTTTTGATTTAATTCTGTTTAGTTTCTTTTTATATTCATCGTCTGGACTCTTGACTGCTTTGTTGTCACTCATTTCTTACGAAATAAAAAAAAATTAAATATTATTTAAATATAATGGAGTAATAAAATAAATCGGAATTTCTATTAATTTATTGTCAACTTCAACTAATGCATTACCGTTAATATATCTAACAAATTCAGCTATTGTGTCAAATCTTCGTCTTCTTTTTGTCATTGATTTATTAGTTTTTCCATAATCGAGATGAATTAAAACTTTATCCCCTTGTTTAAAATTCATGAGCCCCGAATTAATTTGTTCACGTTTAACATCATTCAACCTTTCCATTTGCTTTCTAATATATTCCCATTCTTTTGAAATATCATTTTTCATTTCCACCGGTTTCATGTTTATTGTTCTATGCCATGTATTATTATAATAATATACTAACTGTTGTATGATGGAGTCATGATTTCCATCCCAGTATATCTGACCGTTAACCCCTAACGCATCTCTAAGAGTTCTCATTACCGCATCAACTATTTTATTATGAAACGTATATGGAGAGGATGAAAAGAAAAAATTAATTTGTGGGAAATAATGAGTCATAGCTGCCTGAAATCCTTTATCACCATCACCCCTGATATTATCTACTCTTTCATGATCTAGTAAGTATTGAATAGCTCTTCGTGTTTCCTGTTCTGTTTTCCCTTTCACTGGAATGCAATATAAATATCTAGTGTTAATGTTAATGGTAAATAAATAAGTAATGTTTCCTTTTGAATATTCTAAATGATCGATTTCGTATGAATATGGATATGGTGCAAATGAAGGGCGACCAAATTTTTCCTTTAACGGTTGAATTTTCGGGTCAATTGGTTTATTTAATATCTTGAAATCCTTTTTAAAATCTTTTTGCTTCTTAAATGTTTGAAATGGATATAATAAAGTGAATGATGAAGGATTAACTGAAGGAGGAGGTACTACTGTTGGAGGTTTTGGTGTTGTAAGTGGTTTAATTTTATCTGCTTTGATTTTGGATTTCATTCCCCCCTTCATTAATTCTGGATGTATTCTATTCATTTGTTTTAAATATGCTGTATATAAAGGTTTGATATACTTTCCTGCTTCGAGTTTATGTTGAAGGATGAATTCCAAAAGTTGATCTTCATTTAAAAGTCGGGCTGAATATGGTTTAACTAATGAATCATAAATTAAAGCTTGTGCATCATTTATGGTCTGAAGGACCTGGGCGTTTTGCACCTTTTGTTGATGAACATTTGCTACTTTCTCTTTTGGTGTTGTTTTCGGCTTTTTCTTCTTTGGCTTTTGTTCCTTTGGCTTTTGCGGCTCAGGATTATATAATTTATATAATTCATCAATATCTTCTTCTGTTAATACTTTATTTTTGAAATCTTTCAATTGTTTAAGTTGTGATTTAGTTTTTCCCTTTGTATATTCATTATTTTTAATTTTGTCTTTAATTTTAGAAATTATTTTATCATGATATTTCAAAATTTCATTTTTATAATACCGATAATAATAACCCATATCATCACCCGTTATATTATTATCATATTTTTGGAGATATGATTTTAATTCATAATAATTAGGAAAATATTGATTAAGTACTAAATCATCAATTAAATTTTCTAAATCTGCATTATCCATTTATATAAAAATAAAATAAATGTTTTAAGGGTGCCCACCTCTTTGAATCATAGTATCAAAACCATT